CTCGCCTCAAGCGGCACCCCAGGAGTGGCACCCACATGTCTGTGACGAATGTGAATGCAGGCAGTGGTGATGAGACCTTAAAAGGGGTTCTTGGAGGTCAGGTGTTGCCCATGCATCATTAGTGGGATCGAACAGAAGGCAGGAAGTGTGGGCTCTCTGATGCCGCTGGCTGGTACTAAGAATCCAGCCTCTGGATTTTAGTGCCCTTGACCTGCCGATGCACACTTACACAGCCGCATCTGCGGTGCATTTGTTCTGACATGCTCGCACGTAATTCAAGCTGATGGATCAGCCCGGTTGTTCTGCATCGGCCTCTTCCAATTGCACAGCGTTTTAGTCTCCGTCAAGTGATGGGCACTGAACACCCTCTGCCAAAGCCTTCCTCTCACCTTCGTTCAACAATCGATTTGGCCCTCCTACGTAATCTCTCACCGTGAGTTGCTGCTGCTGCTGCTGCTGCTGGATAAAGATATGCCATCTGTGTGCATGGCCAGACGCATGTGAGCAATTATTCTTGTCCATTCTGGAGTGTGCTTCTTGCTTCCATACGTAGATATGGCATATGTTAGTGTCTATACAGGATATCAGTGGTATTTAAGTTTGTGTCCGTGATCAGGAATTGAACCACGGTCGTCGAGATTGTAACAGGTTGCATACACGACCTGTGCCACTATGTGGAGAGTCGTGATGCAGTAGTTAGCACCCTTTACCTTGACTTCATTGACATTTCCTTCGTGAATATATTTTGAATTGTATTACCCATGAGCTAATTGGCATTCGTTCAGTCTTGCTATGTATCCTCCCGGGTGTATCGGATTCCTGTTGGGCTATTTAAATCAAGTATACTCGTGTTTCACTTAACACCCATACCAGCAAGTATTACCACATCCCCAGATCCTCCTACTCATTTCCTTGTATAATAATGGATTTCTAAGTGTTTTCAATTTAAAATAAGATAAATATTTATAACAAGTAGCGAACCCGTTTCTCTACAACACAAAAAGTTATGGTAGCTTTCGTTTGCATACTCTTCTCACAATCCTGTACTCGGAGCGGTAAAAGTAAATCAATATTTTATATGAGTTTTCTTTATTCTTCATAGAACATTCTGTTAAAATTATTAGATTTGTACCAGGACAGAGTGAACCGTGTCAGTCATTTGTAGTTTGTTACGCCTCCTTTGGTGTCGCTATCAATTACACGTCTTCCGAACTTCTTCTTCCACCGTTTCCACTGAATGTTTATTTGTTCCATGGAAAATCCCAATTGGCCAGTTACCCAGTGGAGTTTCGGTGGCAACCGCCTGCAGCCACGAACAATAGTATTGTTGGGGTGGAGAGGTGCCCAGCCAGAACCCAGCCAGGAAACTCATAGATTGTTTTTAATAGTCAGTCCCTCCAGAAAAACGCGGAGTTTTTTGGTGATTGTTGCGGGCAAAAATCGTTGATTATGCGGCACGTTTTCTTAAAAAATGCGATGGAATATGCGGGATATTTATGCAATTTTATGCGATTAAATTGCGGGAACTTGCAAAAACTGCGGTTTGATGAAAAAGAGAAAAAAAAGTGATTCCCACAACACCCTATTCACTAGGCTACTACTTTAATGTAAAGAGTCATTTCTTATTACTTCCTATGATAAGCAAGCATACTACATCACAGAAAGTGCTGGGAATATTTAAGTTCTCATCTTGTTTTATTTCAGACCTTAACGCGTAATGAGTGACGTCACTTCATAACGTTCCCATGGCAACAGGGGAAATGGCTGCGCTTGTGTGAAGTAAACGCAACATTTTTCAACTTTCTGCTAAGATCTATGTGACTTTTTGCAACGAAAATGCGGGGATTATGAAATCATGCAAGCCCGCATATTTTGCGCGCGGAAATCTGCAATTTATGCGGCGAAAGTGCGGCGTATTTGAAAAAACGCGCCCCCCGCATAAATATGCGGACTTTGGCTGATTTTGCATGGAATCATGCGATCGCATAATCGCGTTTTTCTGGAGGGACTGAATAGTGTGATTTAACATTTTGAATTATGCAGTGACTATGCACCCGGATCTCAAGCCAGTGTATTGACACACTGGGCGTATTTATTTAGCAAAAGGCAGTCGGGCTGTAGGCCAAGAAATTAAAAGGAAAGGCTTGAGCCTGGGCTTGAACAAGGCCAGGGAGTCGACAGCACAGATGGCTGGATGGAATGAGGAGACAAGCGAGCGACCTCTCAATGAGCGCAGGTTGACAGGGGGCTTCAACGTCTTGTTTGCTGGAGTGGAGAATGCATTTGGGGAGAGGGGAGAGGTGTAGGCAGGGGGGAAGTCCATGGAGAGGATCTTGAAGATAGTGGGGGTGATGTTGAAATTGATCCGGCTTTGGATTGGGCGCCTGGGGAGTGATTGGAGTATTGGGGTAATGTCTCATTTACGGGTGAGGGTGAGGAGTCTGGCAGCAGCATTCGAGATCAGCTGGAGTTCTAGATCAGCTTGAGGGTATCTAGGTCAGCTGGAGTTCACGGATGAGGGATTTGGGATGGCTGAGTTGCGTAAGCTCAGTCTGGATTTCACGTGATGAAATCATGTATTGACTGGTCCCCCACCTCACCTCTCCCCACTTATACTCTCAGCCCCCATTATCCAAGGACTTGTATTGACACCACCAGGCAACCTCTGTGCACTGGATGGTTGCTCCTCTTGCTCTGCTGCCTGTGTTGTCTGGAATTCAATCCACCTTGTTGCCCATATTTCTGATGCCATCCATCTGTGCAAGTCTTGCTCAAGACCTCCATTTTTTCCTCTGCCTATGACCCAACTGCCTTCCCATTCGATGTCTTCAATGCCATTCTTACTACACTGTAGCATTTTATAATACATCTTCCAATGCATCCTTTCATTCACCTTTCTCCCTAACTTGCATCTACCACTTCACTACAGCACCTTCACTTTGTTGGACATAGCCACTCGATACTCGTAAATTAAATTTGTTTTGTGTGTCCTACCTGGCTAACAAATTCAATACAAAAGCAAGGCTGCACCTGGCCAGGATGTTAATAGCATCTAACTCATCCAATTAGGTCGTACAGACCGTGTCCGTTGGTGTTTCTGCTACGGAGTGATAAATAGGGAATGCCTTTGCCTGATTACCGCTGAATTTGATTAATTGCCTTGGTCTTACGAAGGCGCCCGCTCACATACTAATTGGACCAGGATTGACGTTCCCACAGACAGCAGGGTAAGGGATGTCCACGTTTAATTTAAATGCAGATGTTTTGAGCGGTTGACCAGTTTTCAATGAAATGTCTATGCAGCTTTCTGTCCGTGAATGCTCTGTATATTAAGGTGTGCGCGTGTGTGTACGTACATGTGGGTAGCAGTGTCATAGTTGTCCATGCACAGCGCTATCATTGCAGCAACCTTGGTTTGACCCAGATTCAGTTGCATATGGTAGTGGCCATCTGGTCTGGGATTATTTTCGAGAAGAGAACAAGAATAGTATCTGTTGCAGCGGTGTTGTTAACGTCAGCTGTGGCAAAATGGTTGTGGGCATGGCGTTCATCATACAGCCTTCAATTGTGCTGTGCCGAATCTTAATATATACACACGAACACCAACCTCACTCATGCAATCCACGAGGCTAAACAGACTGCATGGATATTATTATTTTGTTTGCTTGCGCAATACCATAATATGTGGCGATCCCCTGATTGTACTGGTTGTAATCGCCGGTGAAATGTCGGACTCAGTCGTAAGCCTTGTGGCTTTGCTCTTTCTCGCACACGGTGGTGCCAAAGGAGTCGCACATTTCCACGTTTTGTTCACGTAAAAAACCTTACTAATTGGCTGCGTCGGGTGGAGATGGGTGTACGACACGTTTTAACATTTGCGAGATCTAACCCAAACACTTGATCGTGAATTATATTGGTTGCTAAAGCCTAAGTGTTACATTATTTTACAAATGTGCTTCTTATGATTTAACAGATGTAGGAATATCGAAAAAAATATTATTCTTATTGATTATACATGTACGGCTATATATGCGCCCCTGGTGCTATTAATTATATCTTTAACTTCTCACTATCTGAGCATGCAATAACATTTGCTTCCTTGCCAAATTCACTGGAAAAATCGCGCAAAAGACAAGCGGATTGTTGTGCACTTGTTCGTGTGTGTCTATTTGTGCATTATCCTTCTTCGATATTTATTTCTGGAAATTAGAGCCATAGCTTATATGATAGAGCAAAGTACACATTCAAAATAAACATTAACATTTAAGGGTCTGCAGGAAAATGTGTGTGTCCGTGCGCACGTACAGTACATGTGCGTGTATTTCAGGGTATGGTGAGGAGCGGTCGAGTAGCAGTTAGCGTGCTGCGCTGCGAACCCAACGACCCGAGTTCAATTCGCGCTCACGGCCAACACCGTTGACGATTAGTTGAACCAGCGGTGTGTAGATGTCAGCATTGGGGAGATGAAGACGGTCGGCCATAGTGCTGGTCAACCACCCCCTTGTGTGCTGTGCCGGCCTTCATAGGTGCTCGCTAACAGCACTAACCCCAAAAGTCTGATCCAATCCTAGTGTAGTGGTTAAACGCACTCTGATCCAATCCTAGTGAAGATGAGTTTTCATAACCAGGCGTGCACATCAGTGGTTATTGATACCTGCATCTGTCATGAATGCTGCAGTAGGACATTTCAATGGTTGAGATGAGATGTGTGATGTAAGGTGCTTCGGGGTGCTGAATAATTTTATGCATGCTACGAGTGCAAATCATCATCCTCTGAGCCTCTCTTGAAGTTGACTCGGCCACAAATGAGTGCCTGGGTGGAATGTGTAAAACACATCGGCACTTGGGGAGACGTAGGTAGATGGGCATGGTGCTGGCCACACAAGAACCCCCTCTTTGTGTGGTCGTGGCTGTGAGTACATCGCTGTGAAGGTAGGAACCGGCTAAAAGCACGGTTAATTAACGAGGTGACTCCGTGTACCCTTTGTGCGTGTGTGCAGTCGCAGAAATCGGTCCGTTTGGCCCCATATTATTTGAGGAGCCGACCGACACTTTGTATCCAGAGGATTCGCCGGAAAAAAACCGTGACCCTACGCTGCCTTGCCAAGTCAAACCCACCCGCTACGTACAGGTACCGTGGGGGACGTGGGGCACTGCCGAGGGCCACGTGCGGTGGCGGGCGCGGCGCTGAGGCCCAAGCAAACCGAGCAAAACTTTAGGGCCCCCCCCTCCCACCCCCGAGCAGCTCAGAGGGGGACCCCTAATTGGCGAGCATACATCTGTTTTGCACATAGGGTTGGTGGTTTTTGTAAAATATCAGCTCATCATTATGCGCACTTACGTTGGAGTATTTTGCACGTAAATAAACTTGCACGCTTATGGTTAAAGTTATTTGCAGCCGTACGAATAGCATGGCTTCATATACAATATGAGTGTCCTCCCATTAAAGGTGTGGATTTCAACCACACTCAACAATACTTGGGAGTGATTCATTGTTTGGACATCACAACCACAACTACCTTTTTTGAAAACCCGAGTTTGATTTCTGGCCACATGTAACAGTGGCAGGTTGAATATTAAGCTGGCATCCTGGGCCAATTACTAGGTCTGCTCAGCCTAAAATTCATTCCTGATGCAGTGGGTGAATTGTCAGTGCAAGAGATGAAGTTTCAAGCTTGTGTTGTGTAACCCGGTAAGAAACTCAAGAGACCAGCACGAGTCTCGTTTGGAATAGTGGCCTGAAGGCTGATGTGTACCCATAATACCAACCACACCACATGATTGTGTCATTTTGGCCTTAACAGTCACTCGCACAGCAGTCGTCCTACGGTCGACTGTAGGGCTTGTCAAACTCTTAACCATTTACCAGTCTTCTCAATTTCAATGTAGACTAGCTTTTAAAATATTACATGCGCCTGGTGTTTGATTGGTAGATACTGGACCTTGAAAATCCCTGGTCTGTATATTCATACAATCTAGTTGTCGGTCTTCGTGAGCCGTACTTTCATATTTCTTTTCTTCGAATGCTTCGTAGATGGCGTCACAATGGCATGGAGGTCAAGTGGAATAAGAGATACAGCCTGGAGGGCGGAAACCTGGTGATCTCGGACCTCGACAGGGACCAGGACGCGGGCACCTTTCCAGTGCCTGGCCACCAACAGATTTGGCACCCTTGCCAGTCAACAAGCCACGCTCAAGTTCGCCTGTGAGTAGAGCTGGGCGACGGTGATGGGGAGGATGCTCAAGGATCGTGGTTCCAGCGTGTCTTTGAAATGCTGTAGTTCAGGGGCAGCGTTGTCCCGCCATGGAGGTGTTTTTTTTTTAACAAAGCCCTGTTATTTCCATGAAGACCAAACTTTACCACCTGTAATTGTATGTTTTAACTAGCTGTACTACCCGGCTTCGCCCGGGACTTGTATCTACCACGGCCGGCCGCCTTTGTCTCCCCAGTGGCGATGTTAATACGCTACAGTAGTTAAGTTACTCGTTTGAGGCAGAGTCGACCTAGGGGAGGTTCAAATAATCGTCACCGGTGGTGGCCGTGAGCGGGAATCGAACTGGGTTTGCCGGGTTGGTAGCGCAGCGTAGCGTTAAGCACTACACCCACCGCTCCTCACACACCACACACGCACAGACACACACACAGACACACACACAGACACACGCAGACACACACAGACAGAAACACACACAGACAGCACGCTAACCACTACACTACCGCTCCCCACACACCACACACACACACACACAGACACACACACAGACACACACACAGACACACACACAGACACACACACACAGACACACACACACAGACACAGGCAGCACGCTAAGCACTACACTACCGTTCCCCCTACACAACACACGCGCGCGCGTCCATAGGTACACATACACGCGCTTGCTGCAGACACACACGACTTTCAGGGTGCATACGGCAGTAAACGACTGAAATAATAAAGCGGCAATGCTGTGTAAGGAACGCCTTAGACCCGCATTATACATTTGTGTAATGCGAGCGTAAACACACAAACACACACAAACACATACACAATACACACACACATACATGCAGACACACAGACAGACACATAACACACATACATACACACACATACAAAACACAGAAACACATACACACACATACTAGACACACATACAAACACAGAAACACATACACACACATACATAGACACACACATACATACACACAAACACATCCACAGACGTACATACACACATACATACAGGCCACGCAGACATACACATAACACATACAAAAAAACCCACATACATACACCACACACATACACACAAACACATGCACACACATACATACACACATGCATACAGACACACAGACATACACATAAACACATACACACATACACATGACCCGGCTTCGCCCGGGACTTGGATCCACCACGGCGGCAAAACCGACATACATACACACCAGACATACACACAAACACATACACAACATACATACACACATGCATACAGACACACAGACATACACATAAACACATACACATGGACCCGGCTCGCCCGGGACTTGGATCCACCACGGCGGCAAAACCGACATACATACACACACAGACATACACACAAACACATAACACACATACATACACCATGCATACAGACACACAGACATACACATAAACACATTACACATGACCCGGGCTTCGCCCGGGACTTGGATCTACCACGCCCAGCCGCCTTTGTCTCCCAAGTGCCGATGTTAATACGCCACACCAGTTACTCGTTTGAGGCTGAGTGGACCTAGGGGAGGTTCAAATAATCGTCACCGGTGGTGGCCGTGAGCGGGGACTGGAACTGGGTTCGCAGGGTTGGTAGCGCAGCGTAGCGGTTAAGCACTACACCCACCGCTCCTCACACACCACACCCGCACAGACACACACACAGACACACGCAGACACACACAGACAGACACAGACAGACACACACACACACACAGACACACAGACAGCACGCTAAGCACTACACTACCGCTCCCCACAACCCACACACGCACACACACAGACACACACACAGACACACGCAGACACACACAGACAGACACAGACAGACACACACACACACAGACACAGACAGCACGCTAAGCACTACACTACGTTCCCCCTACACAACACACAGCGCGCGCGTCCATAGGTACACATACACGCGCTTGCTGCAGACACACACGACTTTCAGGGTGCATACGGCAGTAACGACTGAAATAATAAAGCGGCAATGCTGTGCGAGGAACCGCCTTAGACCAGCAACACATTTGTGTAATGCGAGCGTAAACACACAAACACATACAAACACATACACCACATACATACACACCAAACACATACACACAGACCATACACATACAACAAAACCCACACAATACATGCACACAAACCATACACAATCACAACCACATACATTGCAGACACAGACCCAGACACATAACACACATACATACACACACATACACACACATACATAGACACACACATACATAGACACACACATACATACACACAAACACATGCACACACGTACATACACACATACATAGAGACACGCAGACATACACATAAAGACATAAAAAAAACCCACATACATACAACACACATACACACAAACACATACATACACATACATACACACATACATAGAGACACACAGACATACACATAAACACAAACACACATACACATGACCCGGCTTCGCCCGGGACTTGGATCCACGATGCCCCGCCGCCTTTGTCTCCCCAGTGACGATGTTCACACACGACAGCAGTTACGCTTTTGAGGCTGAGTGGACCTAGGGGAGGGCCAGGTCCGTTTCAAATAATCGTCAGCGGTGGTGGGCGTGAGTTGGAATCGAACTGGGGTCGCTCAAGCAGCTTAATGACTGTTTGTACAAAGAACATATAAAGAATCGATTATAATAACCAGGCAAGAGTCCACATTATAGACTGCCAGTACACGCACTCAGCTTCATAAGCAGGCTAGAGTGTACATGATAGAGTGGCAGTACGCTCACCGAGCTTAATAAGCAGGCTACAGTGTACATGATAGACTGGCAGTACGCTCACCCAGCTTAATGAGTATTTGTACAGTGAACATTAAAGTAATCGATTG